CCTTCTCTTTCTCATTATTTTTCTTCTTCAATTGTTCGCTGTCAAATTGTTAGGTTTCTGCACCAAAATGTCCAATGTTATCCTAAATTCATCTTCACTACCCATAAATCCTATATCAATATATGAAATTTCGAAAAGCATATGCAAGATCGTAACCACTACAAACTTACACATTGATGGCATTTTGCTTCTCCATATCCATGTAAGCATTGCTGTAATATCGCTGTAGAGTTCGAAAAAATTCCTGGGACTGGGTTGCAGCTCTCCACTGACCCCTTCTCTCAGAGAAAATCTATAATAAATTTTAAAATTTTAAGAATGTCAACCAAAAGCTATGTTTGTAATAATGACATAAAATGTTTGAAAGGATAATTAATTGTATATTCACCAAGGAACCACCCCCTGGACCCGCAAAAGGAAAATGCTTACACTGAAAACTGCAGACTAATGTAAACTTCAAAAACAAATTCTAACACAAAAATGATCAGATGACAAACCCTACTAACAGCTTACTCAAATCACATTCGACAGGTTCTATCTGGAGCTCTCTTCTGTTAAGGCAGGAGATCGATCTCATAATAAACATAATTTCAAATGTTTAACTGTTACTTAAGACGTCTCAACTAGTTGAAGAACGAGAAATGAAAGAATGATTCTGGCACTTCCACACAATAAAGGAGGCATGCACTGGCTTTACAATATTGTTTAGACACAAAATTGTAGCAAATGCATAAAATAAATAGCTATAAAATAGAAACATACTACATCTGACTGATCCATATCACATGAAATGGATTGGTAGGTCCTAAAATCAACTTGATTTAATGATTGATTACTAATTCTATCATTTTCCATAAGTAACATAACTTTTTAGACAGGGTATTGAAGAAAAGACCATCAGAACACTTGCAACTGGATGTTTCTAATTGCAATATAATAGAATCTAGTCAGTCCACCCATTATTAGAATGAAATCACACATTAGCTTACCTTGTTATGAGCAGCTGAACCACCATACTGATGTGCAAGGGTATCACCCATTCTCTCATAGAAAACCATTAATTCATCAGCCAAAGGATC